GCTTTAAATTGTTGAGAATACATAGCGAAAAAATAAATACTCCTGACTTGCAATACACTGAATTTAAAAAGCAGCTTTTTCTAATCATTTACTGCCAAACTGCATAATAATGAACTCTCGCCAGATTTTGTGAATTCCCTGATTTTGTGGTTTACAGATAGATCTTAAAGGTAATGTGACGAAAACACTTTACTTGTAAATATTAGTGGTGTGAGGAAGGAAGGCCTGCAGGAAGCTGGTCCGGCGTGTTTGTCAGTTTTTCGTTTTCATGGTCTGGACCTACAGTGAAAAGTACCTGCTCTTTCTATCCCCTGTTTTGTTTCTAAACCTCGTTAGTCTATTTCTTTCTTTCACTAAGCAAGTGGAGATGTAAAGAACAGTGGGAAGTTAAGATGGATGATTTTTACTTGTATTCAGTCTTTTATTAGGCTGTTAATACAGAATATATTATTAGATTGCATTGTTACCTCACTTACTGTCTAAAATATATCTCTCTTTTAACTAATCAAAGAAATAAAATCAGCAGTTTTTCAGAGTTTATCATAAATCTTTACTAACACCTTAAATTCTGCAGGGTTAGTTTAAGTTGGATATCTTCAGTGAGGGTGGGAGGTTTTGCACTGCAACAAATTAGTATGGAAAGATTTTAAAATATTAGAGATGGCAGAACTTCTACCAACTGTGTGAGCAGACGAAGTTAGTAGGTGCCACCACAGTCTTACAGTATTTCCTAACTTCTGACCAGAATTGGCAAGCTGTGTTAGCGCCAGCTCAGAGTCAGCGAGCTCCGTCAGCGTGAGCTCAGTGCTCATTGTTTTAGGTTACGATTACCTCTCTTAGGAAGGGGAAAGGGAAATGGCAGTGAAGGTCACAAGGAGAAAAATATAGTTGGTTCATTGAAGTTCACGTTACACTCCCCAAAACAAGTATGCCATCCTTATAGGAAGAGTGAATTGGGTAAAAGGTGAGTTCTTAATTTATTTAGAGAAAAAATGTTTACTTTGTATATATCGTCAGTCAGTTACATTGTATTAGTGAATATGGTAGCCATATTTTTATGCCCCTTAGCAGTGCTTGGCGAAAATGGAATTGCTTTTTGTTTCCTGTCATCACTTTGAGGGAACGCCGTTTCCTGTCACCTGGAAAGAGTGACCTAATTTGCCTTTTTTGCTGTACATACCAGCAGCCATAAGAGACTTATCAGTTTAAACTATTTCTCAAGATTCTCAGAGAATAGCTGGTTCCCGAAGGTAGTTTAGTACACTCTGAACTCTTGGCAGGTTGGGACCATACCTTGAGTTGTTAGAAAGTCAGTAAATACTTCAGTTATTATAAATTCAACAATCAACAGTGAT